ATTCGCCCGTAATGTGGGAACCTTTGCTTATTTAACACTACACCCGGGCGCCGGTGTAGCGGCCCTTGCACACTTTTCACTGTATTCAAACTATACAACGCGTCGCTTTCAGAAGACGCCCTAGCACTTAACACAAGCATTCGCCCGTAATGTGGGAACCTTTGCTTATTTAACACTACACCCGGGCGCCGGTGTAGCGGCCCTTGCACACTTTTCACTGTATTCAGACTATACAACGCGTCGCTTTCAGAAGACGCCCTAGCACTTAACACAATGATCAAAAGGATTCATGTCATGATTTTTTTCGACAAATTTTACGCTGGTTGTCGACTACCTAACGCAACTCTCCACTTTTCTCATCCGGGCTTGGGACCGGCAACGGCAGTGTTAATTAAATATTTACAGATAAACGCGCCAGGTAGGGGCGCATTTATCTGTAAATATTTATAATAATAATAATAATACATGTAATAATAATAATTATATCAATTTTATGTTCAAGCTTCTAAAATTTTCATGTGTGCACTTAAATTTAATTGTAATTTAATTCCATTTCGATTTTATTTTTAGAGTTCTATATTTCATTTTAACATTCCTTAATTAGGAAAATAATAACTAATTATTGAATTCAAACTTTATATCTGAAATTTATCTCTTTCTTCCTCTGCTTGAGCTTCCTCTTCTGAACTCCTTAAACTTTTTAATAAAAGTAAGTTATTTTCAATAAATTATAATTAATAAATTAAAAATTAATTTTTTTACCTTATCTTTCTTGCCCTAAGCTATTCGATCCAAACTTGTAAGGCTCAGGGTCTGTTTGGCACCGTGTTTTTTGCGTGGTGTGTGGCCCAAAAGCAGCTTTTTTTTATGTTCGTTTAATAACGACAGTGTAGGTGTGTTTTTAAAAAATTTGGACAACCTCGCGACCCGCGTTTCGTAAAAAGTATTCGTTCGGCTTTTACTACTTTACCCTCTCCCTCCTCTGTCTCGCGACTTAGTTTTTCTCTCGACTCCCGCAGTCCCCTCTTTCATGATTCAGCCCTAAAGGTAAAGATCCCGGCTCGCCTCCTCTATAATCCGTGATTCTGTTGGCAAGGCTTTTCTTGTGCTTGGCTCCTTTGCTCTCCCTATACCCTCTGCTCTTCGTCTGTGCTTGGCTCCTTTGCTCTCCCTCGGCCCACGGTATTTTCTATCACTATATTCTCTGACATTATGATTTTGTGATGATTTTTTGAGCTCTATTCGGTCGATGATTTTCGTATGGTTATTCACTGCAGTTGGATTTTGTAATTTATGCGATTTTAGTTTTTGTAATTCATGTGATTTTGCATTGATGTTGGATTTTCTTTAATGCTGATGGGTTGATGGCCTTTACTGTGAATTGGGTGGTGCTGTGGTGGCTGCGGTTGTGCTGTGGTGAGGAGTACTTAGGCTTAGGATGTGGGTTGTGAGGTGGTTGCTGTGGGCTGTGGGGTTGTGGTATGGTGGCTATATTTGAGCTATAGTGAGGAGTACTTGTGTGTGGAGTTGTGGCTGGGGTGGTGTTGTAGTGGCTGTGGTTGTACTGTTGTGAAGAGTACTTGTAATGTGGTGAGTATTGTGTCATGGGTTATGGTGTAGTGGTTGTGGGTTGTGGGGTTGTGCTGTGGTGGCTGTGGTTGTGTTGTGGTGAGGAGTACGTGTGTTGTGGGTTGTGTTGTGGTGGTTGTGGGTTGTGGGGTTGGGATGTGCTGGCTGTGGTTATGTTGTGGTGAGGATTACTTGTATGTCGAGGTGTGACTGAGATTGTGCTGTGGTGGTTGTGGCTGTGGGTTGTGGTTGTCTGGTTGTGTTGGCTCATGTGTGGGTTGTGGTTGTGTGTGGAGGCGGCCTTGTGTTGTGTGGTGGTTAGGGTTGTGTGTGGTGTGGCTGGGGTTGAGTTGTGGTGGCTATGGTTGTCTGGTTGGTTGTGTTGTGGTGGTTGTGATTGTGTGTGGAGTTGTGGGTGGGGTTGTGCTGTGGTGGCTGGGGTTGTGGGTTGTGGGTTGTGGTTGTCTGATTATGTTGGCTCATGTGCGGGTTGTGGTTGTCTGTGGAGGCCTGGCTCTATGTGGAGGTGGTTGTGGTGCCTGTGATTGTGTGTGGAGGCGGTGGTTGTGTGGCATTATAACTACACAAGGGCAGAATGATTATTTGTCTAGAAACAGTTGTACTGAAGCTTTTTTCAAACAACAATAAACAAACAACTAACCAACTTATTTGCGTCTGCTTCTGCGCACCAGCTTTCTGAGGCAGCTGTTGCGCAACAACTTATTAATAAGTTGTAGCTGCCCCAAACAGACCCTCAATCGAGCTCTCTGCAAGCCGCATATCACGGCAAAGCCGCTCGTCTAGAGATAAAAGCTTAGATCTCTTGCTCCTTCCTCGCAGCCAATTAAAATCACGTGAGGCAGGCTCGATGGGGCTGCTTGCCTCCTCCTCTCTTCTCTGTTATTAATTTAGGGCAAGAGAAAGCCATCTCTTGCTTGATTGAAGGTGTGAGAATGCATGCCTGAGCCACTCTCTACTTTGGGGAACTCACAAACACTGAATTAGGGCACCGCAAGCCTCGATTGGAGCTCACGAGCGCTTCTCACACGCGGGGAATGTCGTTGCAAGCTCCTCATGCTCCCACTTGCTCGCTTGCAGTTAACAACAGAGCCGCTCGGCTGAAGGAGCAATTCGCTTCCTTATCCTCTCTTTGCTTGCTGCTCGTGGTAAACAATAAATCCTCTTGAGTTGCTTCTCTTCGGTTCGATCTTGTCTCCTCCCTTATGTTTTTTTCCTTTAACTTCTTCTTCCTCCTTTCACACAGTCTCTCATGCTCTCTGTTTCTCTTAATCACTTCCTCTCGCTCTCCTTTTTCATTTGGTTTCAAATGGATGAGGGCCGCGACTTAATACTTCCAAGGACGGTGGGCATCCTATTCAAACGACATCTGTGAGATGACATGCGTCTTAAAAAATGAATTCGTTTCATTTTTTATGCTAAAAAGGTTGGAATCGAGTCGAGCGCGAGCCATCATTGGTTTGAGCTTGATTAATCAATCGAGTTCGAGCTCGAGATTAATTCTACTAGTTAGAGCCGGCTCACGAGCCGACTTGTTTATTATGAAAAAGATAAATTCAAGCTAGTTTTATGAAAAATTAAAAATAGAACTAGCAATTAGAAGATGAATGATAAGAAATTACTTAATATAATATATAAAATATTATATTTTTTAAATATTTTTAATAATATAAAGATAAACTCTATTAATTATTTTCTATATGAGTTGGTTCACGAGCTTAATATTAAGAAATTAACAATTGGTCTTTCCCACACTTCATATCAAGGAACAATTCAACTATTTTTCTATCCAAGGCCATTTCATTTTACTATTATTACTTTCCGGCTCTTCTACACCCAGTTTCTTATGTTTGATTCACTGCTCTCTACATGATTTTTCTATTATAGACTTTCATTAGTCTTCTCTAGTAAGTTTTTATGCTTTGATTGTTTGTTATTTATCTTCTGTTTTTTTCACCGGTGGCTCGTTCATTTATTAGTAAGGATTGTTTATCTGCCTTGTGATTTATAATTTTCGACAGAGTTGTATCGGAAAGAAATTGGTAATTGATCCCACCTCAGAGGAGGAAGCTTGGCAAGACGGAAGCCTCATGATCACATATATGCCATCCCGTAACGAGGTCACCCAGTTTACACTCACTGGAGAATGGTCCACTCCCAAAATCAACGAGGTATCATTCCTTATACATATGAATGATTACAGTTTTGCGGAGTACATGCGATGTAAGAAGCAGCCAGGCCTCTAATCTCTCATTATTTTTTTCGTCTGTGATTATTAGGCTATGGAACTATGCCTTGATGCTTGCTCAAAGCTTGCGGATATTCTGAGGTTATGCCTCAAGGAGAATGCTTTAGAGTTGGCACCTTGAAACTATTTATGCTTCAATTCTTCTGTTTGACAACCCCAAAACCCTGCACGACCTTTCCATGATCGAAATTTCTAAGCTCCAGCCTGATGAGAGACACACAAAAGTAAATGGATTCACAGCATACCTGTGGACTAGAATAATCGTTATGAAATTTTGTGATTGAATCATGTTGACCAAAATGTACTACAAGATTAATTTGATCTGACACAGGTCCACTAGTATGCGCGGGTCTTACACAAGGTTCTAAAAACTCTACATTTTATCTTATTTAATGTTACAATTTTATTCATTAATGACATGCACTGACTGATACACGCAAGGGATTAATTGTTATGTGAGCTGCGGCCAATGTTGGTAGAACCTAGCAAGAAAAACCAGTTCTTAGAAAGTATTAGCCACTTATCTTAAACGGCTTTGCCATATGGAAAGATTTTCTGTGGGGACAAAAATATATTTTCCAGCTCGGTACTGCAACGGAGACGGTGGGGACCCAATGCGCATGGAATGGACCATTGATGGATACCAGCACACACGTGGGCCCGCTGGCACCGATTCTTTGAGAGCCTGGTGCAACGGAAAATTTCGTCCCTGCACCCCCGAAAAAATCCGCCTTCCATGGGGAATGGTTTCCATAAAAAAGAATTGTCTATAAAAACTACCTTTCAGAAGATGCAGAGAAAAGCCGTCGAATTTGAAAGCTGTAACATAATTGAGTACTAAAATGCAGATGGCTTCCAGAATTCCTCGACTGCTTGCTGCGCTTCTTAAGCTGCTGTATTTCTTACACTGTAAACGAACAAAAATTATGCTAGCCATCTAAAAAATAACTAATTGCTTGACAGAAAAAAATGTCTACAAAGATGCCATAGATTCGAACAGCAGAAGCAAGGAGGGGGACCAAGTTGGGCATGATAATAAAAAAAAAAATTAAAATGATCTTATAAAGTGAGCGGATAATTTTTGTGTAGACTAATTAAATATCCAATTTAAACCATTAAATCTTAAAATAACAGCCAAAATGATAATGACTGTTAAAAGTAATGAATGATATATATATAAACATTTAGAGAATCTATTTTTTTTCTTTACCTTGTTTGGAATGTAACATATGGGTAATATTCCCAACATCTCCAACTTCACCTTCAAATGTTCTGTAATGCAAATAATACGTATCAAATTAATAAATTTTAGTAATTCTTAATATATATCAAAATAATCCAAAAATAATATATATATATATATATATATTTGCTTTGCTAAATTTTCTAAAAATTTTAATTAGAGGTGTACTCCTAAATCATCCTCATTTTTAGCGCCATATGTTGATTTGCATTGTAATGTCAATTTCCATCTAATGTCAGATCATTTTGACAAATTTTATGAGTTTAGAGACTAAATTTGACTTTTCATATATTTAGTTACTAAATTGATCGCTACAAATAATCGGGGGACTACTTTGGTCTCTTTCGCGAGTATAACATGCAGCAGAAAAAAAATCCCAAGAGCAAGCGTGGAAAAAGAAAGGAGAAAATTTATTCTTCCTGAGGGAAAAGAAACATTCAGTTGGCATGCATCAAGCAACTCTGGTGATAAAACTTCTGTTTTGTCTCCACTATAAGGACATATCAAGCACATAAAGGGAAAGCCCATATTAGATCATCAAAAAGCTAATAAATGCAAACTTAAAACTGCATTGCAAAACTATTTACATGTAATAAGCCCTTGTCCTCCGTGAACAATGGAGCCTGCCCTCTATTCTTCACTTGGTACGTAATATAAAAATGAGTGCCCCATACAGCGGAAGAGGAAAAGAATGCATTCATGCAAAAAAGCACTTTTTAAAAAAAAAAAAAATTTAATAATCAAACTCTTTTAATCTGCATTAATGTATTTGAGTCGATGAATATGGTTAGCAGCTAATGCATGCTAACCTCATTGGGCAAACTAAACTGGGACAAATGGAAACAAGTATTCTACTTTCCTCATTTCTTATATACCGGCACTGTCTCAGGTCTCTTACTGGTCTTGATGTTCTTTATTGCTGCAAAATTACAAATGAGAAACTTATTCAGATCCATAGAATAGTTGCATGCTCCGCATAAAAAAAAACAGTTTATTCTACTCTAAACTGTTAGCAATCATACTTAATAAAAGATATAGGTTAAAAAAACAATATATACCTTCCGCATAATCTTTAGCTCCAAAGACTGCAGAGCCCGCAACAATAGCATTAGCACCAGCCTCAATAACCTGCATAGAAGATAGACTAACTTTCGCCACTTTAGTCCTTTTCCCAAACATTGAGTCAAAAGTAACCTCTTACAACTGTTGACTTAGACATGAATATCCCTGTGGTTTCATGGGTTACAATGTGATGAACAGGACATTATTGAAATTAATTTCCCAACCATAAAATTTATATCATGGCGTGCAAAACAATCTTGAGTAGCAATTTAATCTAAATTAAAGGTAACAATCTCATGATTTCTCGAGATAATACTAGCATAGATTTTACCCAAATGTCAATATATATATATATATATATATATATATATATATGTATATATTATTAGATAATAGATGATATTCAGGTACCTTATACGCATTTGAGGGACCAACTCCACCATCCACTTCGATCCATGGATTGACACCCTGTAAGTAACAAAATTAGATCACTGGTACTTGGCAGATGAAATAATCCTGATAAAATTTACATTACCCTTTCAGCACATAATCTTCTAAGGTCTGATATTTTCTTCACTTGACTCTCAATAAAGCTTTGACCACCAAAACCAGGATTAACTGACATAATCAGCACTAAATCTACCACTGCCCATTTAAATGAAAGATGCAGTAAGTGTTGTTATAGGAAACCTAACCATATCGATGAATAAACTAAAATCAAATATGTCCATCAAAGCCATAAAAAGATTAAATTCTTAAGAGAAAGAGGAAAGTCTAAACTTAAGGTGCACATACTAGTTGGAGCCGAAAGCAGTATTTGCTCCGTATGATAAAGGAAAAAATACAATCTCTCCACTTTATGAGGTAGAGAAAAAATTCATGATAAATGGGTTTAGCACATTATCTTGTAAGTTTTGGTTCAATTGATTGAGTTTCATAAATAGGATGCTTCCTATAGGTTGGCAGACCAATTTTCTATTTGGCACATTATTTTGAAGCATACACTAAACAAATGCCTGTCCCTGACTTCATGGGGTAGTGCCATTTTGAAATTATTCAAATCTTGTCAGTTCTAGCATCGAGAAAATCCACTTTATGCTGGGATTTATTTGGATTTTTGTTTTCTTCTAGTTGTTGCCATACTAATTTAAAAAGGTGACAGTCTTGTAATTTACAAAAGGTTCAATATTGAAATGAAGAAATTCTCCTTTGGATGGAAGTCCTTCATCACACCAAGTGAAAAACGAAGAGCCTGTGAAATCACACCTTTGATTCTTAAACTCTTTTCTCAGTTATTTTTATCTGCTCTATAAAGGAGTGGCTGGGAGAGGCATTTGCCACCCCTATATTTATACTAAACTCTTTAATATCATATAATATACTCAAAATTTTGCCCCCCAAAATTAAATGCTCAATAATAATCTAATATTAACTATATTTTTAATTTAATAATAATATTTACAATAGTTTTAATTTTTTTAAAGGGATGAAAGCTTTAAACTTAAATATTGGCAAATACTTAATTTTTAATTTTCCCACAACTCCTTAAATTTTGGTCCTACCACTGTGACCTGTGATTCTCCTCTCTTATTATTTGGTCATTATTTGCTGAGAACACATTATTTTTTTTAAACTTATATGTAATCCTATTAATAGTTGTGATTTTGATCCCGTATCCAATTGCATACCTTCTTTATGAAGACTGGATTAATCATTTTCATGAGGCTGGTCCTTTTAGGCCCCATTTGGCGCGGCGTACCTAATGCCGTTTGTTTCACATGATTCTCGTGTGTTTCTCAAAAAGCATTGCATGAAAACTTGTAAGCGGACAGCGCCCTTTCATCCTGTGGCGTGTTTACCCTCCTGTGAAATTACTTCAATACCCTCTATTGCGTCATCAAGAAGGGTAAGGGTTGCCATTTTTGCGATACCTCAGCAGGCAAAGTCGAGGATTCTATTGAGTTGATATGGATCTAGTTATTACCTTGCACTCTATTCTAGTTCCCATTTCAGAGATCTAACATTCTTTCTTTGTTGTGCAATAGGATCTAGGTTGAGAATTTGTAGATTTATGCTATGAATGCTACTCTTGCTTAGTACTGGTGATTTTTTGTTTTTTCTTGATGTTTTAGAGATCAGAAAAAGCTTGAATTATGAAGGTCTACATTGGAGTCTAAAGGCCTTCATTTGAGTAGATTTAAAATAGAATACATGATATCTAATTTTAGTAGTAACAATTCTAGTGACAGAATTGTAACTACGGGTGATCAAATCATTAAAAGGTGTGAACATTTTAAATATCTCAGGTCTATGTTCAAAGTGATAGTGATATAGATGGAGATGTTATTAGTAGAATTCAAATTGGTTGGTTGAAGTGGAGGAATTCATCAAGCCTATTGTGTGATAGACAAAGTACCGTTTAGACTCTTAGGAAAATTTTATAAGATGGTGGCGAGACCGACAACGCTCTATGGCACAAAATATTGGTCTTTAGAAGAGAAGCATAAAATAAAGTTAAGTGTTGCTGAGATGAGAATGCTTAGGTGGATGAGTGACTTGGCACTTAGAGACAAAATATGAAATGAATAAATCCATGATAGGGTTGGTGTAGCTCCTGTGGACAAGATTAGAGAGAGTCATCTTAGATGTTTTTGTCACATTAAACGTCGACCATCTGATGATCTAGTTAGGAGAGTAGATGTTTTCGACTCGACTTATTTTAAGAAAGGTCGAGGTAAACCTAAAAGGTCTTGAGCATATTACATAAAAAATGATCTTAATTTATTAGACTTACATGAAAATATGACACTCAATAGGATGCAATAGATAAAAAAGATTCACGTAGCCGACCTCACTTGGTGAGATAAAGACTTGTTGTTTTTGTTTTAAGTTAAGAAGTTCGCAAAGTTATATGTGGATGAGATTTTATGATTACATGGGGTACTGAAATCTATAATCTCTTAGAAATATTCAAATTTTAGGATTTAATCCATTTATGTATACTTATTTTGATGTAGGATGGGAGTCACATGTATCTTTAACATAATTTGCTTATAATATTAGTTATTAGAAAAGCATTGAGATTCCTCCATATCAACCTCTTTATGGAAGAAAGTGCGACACACCATTGTGCTAGGCTTAAGCACGTGAAATGAAAATATAGGTATAGATTTATTAGATGATACTATTGAGAAGATAGTAGATTATAATGTTAAAAAGCTCTGAAATAGAGATATTATATTTGTAAAAAAATTCTAAAAAAAATATGAAAAAAAAGCTACTTGGGAGAAAATTTCAAATATGCAAGAACAACTATCCACAACTATTTAATTAGGGCATATTTGTTTTCTTTATAATTTTCAAATTTCGATGAGGAAATTTTTATAGAGGAGAGATTATAATAACTATTATTTAAAGGAAACATCCATCTCCTTGGTTTCATTTTAGGAGATAACTATCTTTGTTTGACCTAGAAGAACTAGAGAGAGTGAGCAGTATTACAAGAAGAGGAAGGAGAGGAGGTCGCATGTGTCAAGGGCAAAGGAGATGACATCGATTGTGGGAGGATGCTAGCTTGCATGAAGGGCTTCACCGCGTGTAGGAGAAGGCGCCGAGAGCGTTTTGTGCAGGAGTAGCCAAAGTTGAGCAACTGCTATGTGCTTGGGAATAAGGAGGCTTGCGTGGGACAAAGCCAAGCAATGCCTAAAGGAAGGGAGAGAGAGTTTATATTGTAGGAGCCTTGTGTGCTGAGAGAGACGAGTAAGGGAGGAGACAACCTTGAAGCATTGCATATGTACTCGGAGGAAGAAAGCTTCATATGAGAGGGGAGCGCTCGAACTGAGCCACCCAGCCAGTGAAGATATTATATGGTTAGGGTTTACATTATTTTCTTTTAGAATAGATAAAATTTTAATTTTGAATTAATGTTAATTGAGATTTGTATTAATTTGAAAATTTTGCTAAATTTAGTCAGCAAGTATTGGAGAAGAAATATTCAAATAAAGATTGAGGTTTGTTCATTAGAGGAAGGGACAAAGTGAGGTAAGTTTAAGGCTAATGTTCCATTTAAAATTTTATATATTTAATTGAAAATATTAATTATTATTTTATTGATTAATGTTAGAAGTACAGGAAGGATATTTATTTGAAAATTGAGAAAAAATGACGATGGTGAAAGAAGTAAGGATTTATGTATAATATTTTGTTAAACATCATTAAGTAGACATTAAGTTTTCTAGTTTAAAATTAGTAATAACATTTGGAAGAACATTTAATTCAATAGGTGTTTGGGGGAAAATATTTAAATTAATTAGTTATGTTTTAGTTATTTTCGAAGTAGGTACTTATTTGTCTATGCACTATTAATAGCTATAGGTGATACTCAAACAAACTAAGTTGAGGAATAAGCTTTTATAAAAGTTTCTTAAATATTTAGGTGAGTAATTCCTATTTTATTTACATTTAATTAATGTCTTTTATTTTTAAAATATTTCACATGTTACACATATTAAAAATTCTTTTAATTGAAAAAAGATAAGTGAAAAATGAAATAACTATTTTATGATATTAATTCTTTTATCTTTTAAATTGCATTTAAATGATAATTAAATAAATTTAATGATTGGAAGAAGTTAAATATGAGTTAAATGAAAAATAAAAGATTAAGCTTATCAGGAGTGACCTCCTTATGATATTGGCTGAGAATGTTATTATATTTGTGCATGTTAAGAGAAAAAAATGAAAATGATTATGCCTTTATGATACAAAATGAAAAAGATTTTGATCGTGCTCCTAAAATGAATTTTTAAAGGTAAAAGAAAAAAGAAAAATATAAATAATTAAAATGATTAAAATGTAATTAATTAAGATGATTTAATAAAAATTTAATAAAATAAAAAATGTAAAATTTATATTATAGATTGATCAACATATTCTTTTGAGCATTCATGTTCGACATTTATATAATAATTTAATGTATAATAAAACTATAATTATTCAGTATGTTTCTATAAACTTAATACATTGTGTCATGACTTAGCTCAGTGTAATAATCGGTAATAATAATAATATAAACATATTAATAATCGATCATAGAAGCATCTCTTTAGTTTCGACTTACGAGTTGTATATCCCTACTTTAGTTTCGACTTAAAAGTCGTATATCCATATTTGAACAAGCGAACGAGAGGGAGAGCGAAGAGATTCAGAGAAGGAAGAAGCGGAAGAAAAGAAAAGGAAGAGGAAGGAGGAGGAGAAGGGGGAGAGAAAGGCATGACTCACCCTATTGTGTGAAGCTGGCGACGACGTGAATGGGGAGCGGTTGTAGGGATTTCGTGCCCTAGTAATTCGATAGAGAGAAAGGAGGCAAGCTTCCTAACCTTGGGAAAAGCACGGTTGACTCAAGAAGGAATTTCCTCGTACAGAGATGCTTGATCCCAAGCAATTTTGAGGCCTAAAAGCAAGAATCAATGGTTACGAGTGGTTCAAAGGGTGGAAGGCGTGCACCGCGTGTGGGCTTCATTTGGGAGGAGAGGAGTTTGAACATAAGTAAAGGAAAGAACTGACACTAAAGACATGATAACCCAAGATAAGAGAAATCCAAACCATTCAAATCTATATACTCATTCATGAGTTGCCCCTACTGA